AATAAATCGTGATATATTTCCGTTTGTCGAAACTTAAAAAAAAAAAAAATCGGGGTTAAAGGGGGAAAATGAACAAAAAAAAAAAAAGAAAAAATCACGTGACCGTCGTCGACGTCGGCGACGACGACGACGACGACGACAAAATTCTAATAAAAACTTACTGTACGATTTTATTTCCGTCCGATGATGATTCCACGACTTTATCGCCGGGAAACCGAACGGATTTATACTGAAGCGAATTGTAGGTTTTCCAAAAAAGATATTCCCTGTAGTATTTGAGTCCCTCGTACAAGGCTGCCAACAAAACGATACCGAACATGGAACCGATGAGTCCTCCGACGGAATCGATTTTCCACGTGCTGAACAATATCGTTTCCGTATATCCGAAATGAAATTCCATCTGAAATTATTAAAATTTAAATATATATATATATTTCTTTTCCATTCCTTTCACCCCTCCCCCTTCCTTTTCATTTCGGGGGGGGGAATCAATTTTATACTTACCGACATTCCGTGACAGTGAGAACCGTTGTGCGAATCGTCTGAAAAAAAAAAGACAAAAAAATTTTTTTTTAGCATTTTTATGTTTATCGATTTAAAATTCTTTTATCGAAATTCGTGAAAAAATTTTTTCACGTGGAAAAGAGACCCCTCTTCTCCCTCCCCCCCCCAAAAAAAAACTCCAATTCTAATCAATTGAATAATAATAATAATAATAATAACTACAACAAATGCCGACGACGACGACGGCCGCAACATCCCTTTTGAGGTTTTCTTAATTCCTTTCGTTACTATTATTATTATTATTATTATTGCTATTGTTGTTTTATTTTATTATTATTATTTTTTTAAACAAATTTATTTACGTTAAAATATAGTTATGAAAAAAAAAGCGCTATAAATTTCTATAATAAGTCATGGGTTACAAAAATAAACTGATAAGTCGTAATTTAAACTGTACAAAGTCGACTACACAATCACAATAATGATAAAGTTTTTCTTTGTTTGTTTCTCTCTCTCTCTCTTTTCATTTTTTTAAAACAATTTTAAATTATTAACGTGAGAATAATTAAATAACCCAATATTATTATTATTATTACCGTCGTCATTTTACTTTTAAAATCAAAAAACAAAATTTTTTCAATAATCTAAACCTGATTTAAGGTGTCCCGAGCAAACCAAAGATCCTTCCTCCCCCCAAAAAAAAATTAACCCATCCGTCCGTCGATCGATATATCGAACTAATCGATCCATCGACAACGATCTTTTTAATTTCCAAAAAAAAAAAAAAATTCGTTAAAAAATTAATTAATTAATTACCTGCCATCCCGTGATGAGGTTGACTTGTTTCGTGTATTATGTGATTGTGACTGGCATGATCGACGTGAGAAGAGACACCGTGTGAAGGAGGGCCCATTCGAGAGGTATCGCCACCGTGAGGCCCAACGTGAGGGCCCACGTGAGAATCCCCGTGCGAAACACCGTGCCCAGCGTGATCCATTATTTTTATTATCTGTAGAAATAAATAAATATATATCGACATATTTACCTAATGAAATTATTACTATTATTATTATTGTTGTTATTTTTTTTCCCAGATCGTTTCGGCTACGTGCGACAACGAATTTATCAACGCGAACGTGGTTGATAGATACGAATTCGAAATGCGAACTCGTGGCAGCAGATAATTTTAATTTATTTATCTTTGAAAGAAAAAAATAATAAAATTGATTTTACCTTTAAAAAAAAAAAAAAAGACACACTTGAAAAACTTTAAAAAAAAAAAAAATGATAACGATACAAAAATTTCCATGCAAATCCAATGAAACAACCACGAGGCAATAAAACAAACAAACAAAAAAACAAACACTTGAACAATTTTTTTTTTTTTGGTTTCCCTTTTTCTGGTTTTTGACAAAAACAACCTTAATAAAAAACAAACCAAAACAAACGACAAAATTGCACCAATTCGACTAATTTACTCATTGCCCTCCTACTAAACTTTTTTCTTTTTTAATTTTTTATATATTTTTTATTAAAATTTGTAATCGTCGTTTCAACACGACTTAAATGACGTATTATCATTATCATTATTATCACTATTATTATTATTATTATTATTATTCACCTCATCTTTCTACGGTTATAAACGTAGATTATGCAAAATGCAATGCACGTAACAATAACAAACGCACGCAGGTGCGTCCATCTCTCTCTCTCTCTCTCTCTCTCGTTTGAATTTATTAAAAATAACCACAACATCATCATCATCATCATCATTATTATTATTAATTTTTTTAAGCATCGTTACGACAAACATTTTTTGCATCAATACTATAAACAAACGATATTTAGTCATTAATAACGTCAAAACATTTCGTTATGTAATAAACAATTTTTTGTTATTCTTTTTTTCTTCGCAAGAAAAAGAGAGACAGAGAAAGAGAGAGAGAGTGGGAGAGAGAGAGAGAGAGAGAGAGAGAGAGAGTGGGAGAGAGAGAGAAACGTAAAGCTTTTCCTAACAAATAACAAAAAAAGGTTGATTATAATGCATTTTCATACCACCTAGAAAATTTTAAACTTTTTATGAATTTCTAAAGGAAATAATAACAACAATAATAATTAGAACAAAATTTTACTTTGGATGATGACGAAAATCGAATTCTCTTGCGTGCGTGTGTGCGTGCGTGAGTGCGTTTGTTTCCAACAAACCCGTTTGAGAATAAAAACAAAACAAAATGCAATCGTTGCGGTTGTTTGTTCACGTGTAATTTACTTCAATTAAAAAAAAAAAAAAAAATAAAAATTCTAGAGACGAGAGAAGAGTAAAAATAAAAAAAAAAAAACAATTTGTAATTTGTTTGTTTGTTTGTTTTCGTGTCAAATAATCTATTCACAATTCGTTGACATTAAGGTATCCGATAGTCGTTATTATTATTATTATTATTATTTTTCTTTTTTTTTTTTTTTTAAATACGAAAATAAATAAAATTCAACCGTGAATAATCGACACTATCCGTCATAATCCTCCAGGGCCTGTTAAAAAAATTTTTTAATAATTTTGCGACAACTTTTTCGGGCAATAAGTGTCACGAACAACAACAACAACAACAACAACAACAACAACAATAATAATAATAATAATAATAATAATAGATCGTGTTCAAATTCGAAAGCAAAACCAAAAAAAAAAAAAAAAAAAAAAAAAAAAAACAAGAAAAAAATTACAAAATTTAAACGCAAATCCCTTAAAATCTCCTTTTTTTTGGTTATCGGGTAAACAGAAAGAAAATAAAAAATCACGATTTTAGTTCCACGTTTAAAAAAAAAAAGTCTTCTGACACTTTCTTTTTTTTTGTAATTTTCATAAAACTAAAGATCAGTTAGATTAATTTTAATAACCCGAATTTACATCTCTTTTTTTAAAAAAAATTGCAAATTCCTTTAATTGACTCGTTGACAACAAACAACAAACAACAACAACAAAAACAACGTTTTAACGGTTTCCATCAAGGTTTTCGTATAAATTTTTACACGTTATGAATTTAAACGAAAATATATGGACGGAAGAGGAGGAAAATAAAAAATAAAAAAAAAAAAATTGAAATTTAAATTCAAAGGCGAACGAGAATTTTTTTTTTTTTTTCCTTTACGAAATCAAACCACAAAAAAATTGCAAAATCTAATGCGAAAAAAAGAAATAATAATAATAATAACTTGTGGCATTCACAAGCAAAGTTATATCGGTCGAGTTATAAATTTACTTATTTATTTACTATTACTTATTTTTTCCTTAAACATATTTTAAAAAATAAAAAATTCAAATACAAACGAGAGAGAGAGAGAGAGAGAGAGAGAGAGGAAGAGAGAAAGGTTAAGATTTGATTCCCTTGGAAATATTATTATTATTATTATTATATTAATTTTGTATACGTGTTGAAATTCTTAAATAACTTTCACCAGGAAGTTTTTTTTCTCTCTCTCAACACTACAATCGTTCACTGTTTCGATCTATTAAGTTTTCAAACGGGATTTTAATAAAAAAAAAATGATAATAATGATAATAATAATAGAAAAAACTCAGTAGGTAAAAAAAGAAAAAAAAAAAAAAAAAAAAAAATTCTCCGTTAAATATATTAATTCAATACCTGATTTTTTTTTTTTTTTTCTTCGACAAGGCCATCATCGAACGTAAGCCTAAAATATTCCAAAGTGAATTCAAGGTTTATATTAATTGAAAGAAAAACTTGACAGGCATGAAGTGAAAGGAATTTGGAATTTTTTTTTTTCTTTTATGTTTTAAATTACATTCAAACAGTTAAACATATTTTAATATCCATTTTACTGATAATATTATAACTCACAGCTTTGCAACTCATCATAATCATCATCATGGAACAAATTTAAATCGAATTCAAATTTCAATTTCGAATCAATTGTTAAAAAAAAAAATTAAAACAAAGAAACAAACATGAAAAAGTAAAGAACATATACAATACATAAATTAAAATTATGCAAAGAAATATATTAAGATGATTAAAAAAAAAATATGATGTAAACCAAATTAGTCATGAATGTAAACGAAATAATCTGTCGATAAATATCAGACAGAAAAATCAAACCAAATTGTATTACTTCTTTAAAAAGAATTGTACATATTAATAGTCGAATAGTTTTAAATCGAAATAAAAAATGCCTGTCATTTATAAATTTTGATTTCTTTTTTTTAAAAGCAATAAATAGACCATAAAATTTTTTATTTTTTGTCTTATGTAACTAATAGAATTTATTTTGCCTCGAGTCAATAGAATGTCTTTTAATGAAATCAATTTTTATTATTATTATTTTAGGGTCACACACACACAAACGCACTGACTGTTTTAAAATTACATGTGAAAATTATTATTATTATAAATGAAATTCAAAAAATATTTTTAATGTTTAACAACATGAGAATAATTAAATACATAAAAATATGATTTTTGGTTATTCGAATTAATTATTTATAAAAAAATATGTGACATATTGTTTCCATTACGATATCTTAATTTAAGTTTAACAAAATATTTTAAATGTTTTCGATAATGTAAATGATTGAAAAAAAAAAGTCTGGGATGAAAAGTTTTGGTTTTTAATTATTAAAATTATTATGATAAACTTTAATAAGACATTATTACTGCTATACAGAACTTAAAATACTTTTAAAATTATTAAAACTTGTAATAAAATAAAAATAAAAAATGAAATTAAGTATGTCAAACAAATTATAAAAATTAATTGGTAACTGATATCATTTAATCAAAGGACGAGAAAAAAAAAAAAAAAAAAATGTTTGTGTTTTTATAGTGTACATGTTTTAGAAAAAAAAATACGATTAAGAATACGTTGTTTAAATTTTTTTTTTTTTTTTTTATAAACAAAACTTATAAAATAAAAATTTTGATTTGTTAATAAAATAACTTTCTTACCGTTGTAATCCGTTGACTTTGTTGTTAATTAAATATCCACTCAACATTCCAATGTAGATCAATCCATGAACTAGAAGAGTAAAACTCAAACAATTTACTCCCCCCACAGTGAACTTTCCGAGAAGGGATGTTGCCAACTGTAAAAAATAAACCATAGAGTAAAAAAAAAAAAAAACAGAAAATTTGAAAAAGAAAATGCTAAACTGTAATTTCTTCTTTTTCTTATTTTCGCGCCGTGAATGTGAATCTTTATAATTTTAAATAGTTTTGGAATTTGTACAAAAAAAAAAATTTCCGTTCATATATATATAATATTTTAAAATAAAATTTTCGATTAACGTAAAATTTCAAATAATTTAAAGTGTAGAATTATTTACGTAAATGCTTGATAAATTTTAAAACAAAAAACATTTACCATAATATTCATTTCTATATGAAATAGTATGAAAAAAAAATTTTTTGTCGAATGAAAATAATTTAGTTGCTGATGAGCAAGAGAAATTTTTTTAAAATTAAATTTGCAAATTATCATGGCGACAAAAAAAGTTTAACGTTTAACGTAATTTGCCGCATGTTGGCCATTTTGTTGCCGCAAACTACCAATCAAAAATGGCGTGTTATGTTTTCGTGGTTTCTGTAACATTTGTATAATTAATGGATTAAATTTCTTTAAAATTTTTTTTAAAAAAGTTTTATTTGACGATTTCTTTTCAAGCTTGATAAAAAGTAAACTTTTGTGCATTTATTTTAGTACGGAGTATAAAACAATAATTGTTTTAAAGAATATAAAAAGTATTGTTTAGTGAAAAGCATTTCTATGTCGGCATTTTTACGTTCCCGCTTGTTCAGTATTTTATAAACAGAATTTTATTACTTTCAATGAAAAAAATTTTAGAGTAAATAATTTATTTAGTATCAAAATGGTGCCTTTGGGTACGCAACATTCTTCTGGATCGTTGCCTTCATCTTTAAATACTTCAAGCAGTTCAGCAAAATCTTCCAGATCTAGCGTTGTAAGTTTTTGTTGAGTACTACGAGTACCATTTTCTTTTTTTTTTTTTTTCAACCTTAATTATTTTGTTTTTCATGAACAATGATTAAAATATTATTATTATTACAATTTTAATTTAAACAAAATGCTTGTTTTATTGTATTTGTAATTCTTACAGAAATATTGTTAGTGAATTTCAGTTGATTATTTGTTTTTCATATATTTTTTATAACAAAACCATTTTTTATGTATACACTATTATATGAATTGTAGATTATGTACTACAACTTGATAAATTTTTCTCATTTTTGTTTCAGAAACCAAATTACACTTTAAAATTTACTCTAGCAGGTCACACAAAAGCAGTATCATCAGTAAAATTTAGTCCTAATGGAGAATGGTTGGCAAGTTCTTGTAAGTTTTTTATTTTTCTTAAATTAAATTAATTTATTTCAACTTGATTTCTTAAATTGCATTAGATATCTGTTATTTTTAAGCATTGATTTATTTAAGAAAAAGATAATGATTGTAATTAGTGTTTTCATACATAAGTTTATAATATTTTTAAGGGCTTTTCAACTCAAAATATTTTTAATTATAAATAATAATAATAAATTTTTAGCTGCTGATAAATTAATAAAAGTTTGGGGAGCATATGATGGAAAATTTGAAAAAACAATTTCTGGGCACAAGCAAGGAATATCTGATGTTGCATGGAGTAGCGATTCAAGATTACTCGTTTCAGCATCAGATGATAAAACATTGAAAATATGGGAATTGAGCTCGGTAAATAAATAAAATAAGATAAAATAAATATTAAAGTTCATAAATTAATGTTAACACAAATGTTTTAGGGAAAATGCTTAAAAACATTAAAAGGACATAGCAATTATGTTTTCTGTTGTGATTTCAATCCTCAATCGAATTTAATTGTAAGCGGATCATTCGATGAAACAGTTAAAATTTGGGATGTGAGAACTGGAAAATGTTTAAAAACAGTACCTGCTCATTCTGATCCAGTGTCAGCTGTTCATTTTAATAGAGATGGTTCTTTAATTGTGTCAAGCAGTTATGATGGACTTTGGTAAAAAAAAAAAATTGTGTGTTTGATGAATTTTGAATATTTTCGATTTATTCGAAACTGCTCATAATGTTTGTCTTTTTTTGTAGTCGAATTTGGGATGCGCCTTCAGGTCAATGTCTTAAAACTCTCATTGATGCAGACAATCCTCCAGTATCATTTGTTAAATTTTCACCCAATGGAAAATATCTTTTGGCCGCAACACTTGACAATACCCTTAAACTTTGGGATTATTCACAAGAAAAATGTTTGAAGACGTACACGAGTCATAAAAATGAAAAATATTGTATATTTGCTAATTTTTCCGTGACCGGAGGAAAGGTTAGATTCGACGAAGACATTTTTTCATTAAAAATTTTTTTTTTTTTAATTTGCCACGGTTAAACATTTTTTTTTGTATTTTTGTAGTGGATCGTGTCCGGATCCGAAGATAATATGGTCTATATTTGGAATCTCCAAACAAAAGAAGTCGTTCAGAAACTTCAAGGACACACAGGTAGTGTCAAAAAATTTTTTTAATTTTTATTAATTAATTAATAGTTTAAAACTTGTTCGTTAAAAAAAATTAAAAAAAAAAAAAATGACGTTTTCAGATGTTGTTTTATGCACGACGTGTCATCCAACAGAAAACATAATCGCATCGGCTGCTTTAGAAAATGACAAAACTATAAAATTATGGAAAAGCGATACTTAATTTTTTTTTTATTTTTTCATCCCCCCCCCTCCCTCCAACATCTCCCACTTTTTTTTTTTTTTATGCCATTAACGTAAAAGAACAGAATTATTATCATTATCAATAACACTATTATAAATAATATTATTATTATTATTTTTTTTTTTTTACTACACGGAACTTGGTCGGTCAGTTTTTGTGAAGAAAAAAATATATATCAGTTTGATTTGTGCGTTCGTTTCACGTTTTTAGTTTTTAACCGCAACACGCAATCGATACCCGTAAATGCTGCTGTCGCCTCCAACAGGAAAATAAATTAATTTTTACGACAAGATGATTTATATATATCAAAAAAAAAAAAAAAAAATGCTGTGTATTATGTTGTAATACTTATAACACGGGGTTGTGTATTATTCACTTTTCATTTTTTTTTTTTTTTTTTTTTTTTTTATTTAAATATAAGATGATAATAATAATTACATTAAGTTTTTTTTTTGTAAATTTATTTTTCTTTGTTTTTAATTTGTTTAGCTATGTTTGTTGTTTCGTTCTGTGATTATTATCATTATTATTAACACGTCATCATTATCATCGATGAAAAAATTTGTTTTAAATGTTTGGCAGAAAAAGAAGGAAGGAAACAGAAAATTCAAGGAAAATAATTCTAAAAATTCCATCGATTAAAAAATTTCGAAAAAAAAAAAAAAAAAAAACAAAAACAAATGGCGGAAAAAAATAACAATCTCACGTGTCATGGAGTCATTTTAAATTTGTTTATTTATATTTTTTTTTTTTTTGTTTTTTGAATGAGAATTTAAATTTTTTTTTAATTTTTGGCCGAGTAAAAAAAAAAAAAAAATTTTATTATTTTCTTTCTTATAATCAACAATAATTGAAAAATGTATCAAAATTATAAAAGTTGTGGTATTTTTAAGTGAAAGTCATTTTAAATAAAATTTTTTTAATATAAAAAAAAGAAAAAAAAAAAAAAATTATCGTTTGTTATCCCATGTGGTTGTTGTTGTTGTTGTTGTTGTTTCGTGTCTCATAATTTATCATTTGATGTAAAATATTTTATAGATTATGATTGTTTCTTTCACCTGAACGAAGGATTCGATTTGGAAAAAAAAAAAAAATAATGTCAATATATTATTTATCTTGGATGTTTTTGTAAAATGTTAATATATTATGCTACCTGTTGGATTTTTTCGAAAAAATGTTTTGGAAACGTTTAAATCGTTGAATTCGAGTCAAGTATTTAAATATAATAAATTTTATGAATCGAATCAAAAAGAAGAAAAAAGAGATCCTTATGAAGGAAATTATGGATTCATCGATTGCGATCAAAGTGCAAAGGTATTGTTTAACTTCGATTATAATTTTGTTTAAGGAGTAGTGGAGGTGGTGGTGATGGCGTGACAACTTATTAAAACTTTTAAAAATTGTTTGTTTTTTGTGTTTTTTTTTTTTTGTTTTAGATAACATTGATCGGAGCTGCTGGACGAGTTGGAAAAACTCTATCGTTACTTTTAAAAACATGTCCCCTAATTGATCATTTATGTTTGTTTGACATCGATAGATCCGTTAAAGGTGTTGGAGTTGACGTAAGTCACATCGATACAAAATGTTGCGTCAGTTACGTGTGCGGAATGAAAAACATTCAAAAAGCTTTGGAGGTAACAAAAAAAAAAAAAAAAGGTTTGTAACGATACAAAAGTTTTTTTTTTTTAATAATTAAATTTATAAAATTTTTTCAGAATCCGGATGTTGTTGTTATTGCTGCCGGATATCCTACATCTCCAAAATTAAATGGGAAAAAACTATTTGAAAAAAATGCTCCCATCATAGCCAATCTGAGTGAAGCGTGTGCTAAATTTTGCCCTCAAGTAATTTTTTCCTCGTTTTTTTTTTTTTTTTTTTTTTTAAATAATTTTTCTGTTAAATATTTATTTATTTAACCTTTTATTAAACCTTCAGGCTTGTGTCGTACTCATAACAAATCCAATAAATAGTCTTCTGCCTTTAATGAGTGAAATATATCAGGCCATTAATCGAAACGTACCGTCGAAAAAAGTAAGTAAAGTCGAAAGATTTATCGATCTATCGAAAATTATCGATTATTAATAAAAAAAAGTAAAATTTTAGTTGTTCGGATTAACCACATTAGACGTCGTGAGAGCAAATACGTTCGTAGGTGAAGTTGTTAGAAAAGATCCAAACGACATAATTGTACCCGTTATAGGTGGAGCATCACAAGAAACCATCGTACCCGTCATATCGCAAATGAAACCATGTTGTAGGATAAAACGAGTGAGTTTTTCCGCTTGATCTCGAAGAAAAGAAAGACAAAAAACAAACCAAAATTTTAATTGTTTTTTTTTTTATTTTTAAAGAACGAAACATTGGCGCTCACGGAATGTATAAAAAGAGCCGAAGGAAATTTATCCGATTGTCAAAATTGTGGTACTCGCGGAGCATCTTCACTCAGCACGGCCTACGCAGCATTTCGATTCACATCCTCGTTGATGATGGCTTTAAAAGGAGCCGAAAACATCATAGAATGTGCTTATGTAAAAAGTAACGTAATACCTCAAATAGAATACATGGCGTCACCATTGAAATTGGGACTTTGCGGAATCGAACATAATTTCGGTTATCCTCAACTTTCAGGTAATTAATCAATTATTTTATATCTTTCAATCGATGAAACTTGTGATTTTTCTATAAATTTTGAATATCCTGCCTCTTATCTATCCTCCTCTTTCTCCCCCCACCCCACCCCCCTTAACTGAATTCGATTAGTGCGCAATTTCCGGTTTGATGGCGGGCGTCGTAAATTTTATTTAAAAATGTTGTGCCTGTTCGATATAATACGACTAACTAATGCGATTACTCTGTGTAAGGGAATGGAATTGTCTTGCTTTTCAGACTTTGAAGTGAGTTTAATGGAACAGGCAGCTCCGATGTTGATAAAAGATATCGATATGGGTAAATGTTACGTTGTCCAGAAAAAGAAAAAAAATAAAAAAAACAAAAATTATTTTAAAAGATGTTCCGATTGCGAAAACACCGGAAACTTATGTGTATCACGTACGCCGACGCCGACGCCGCCGCCGCCGCCACCGACGACGACGACGACGACGACGAAAATGCTTCCACCATTGGAAACTAAAATTAAATATTTCGGAAACGAGAAAAAAATTGATAAATATCCAAAATCTAAATCTCATTTCAAATATAAAAAAAAATCAGAAGATGTATTTACAAATTATTTGAAAGAAATAAAAATCGACGATGAATGTTATTCGTTGGAAATGACGTGCGATTCTCGTAAGGTGACGACGAAAGGTGACGATGACGATTGCGAAAGCAACGACAACGACAACGACAACAACAACAACAACAACGACAACAACAACAACAGCAACTTCAACATCAGCAGCAGCAAAATCCCATGCGGGTGTGGCAACGTCGGCGGACATGCTTGCAGTAACGTCTGCAAGGGTATCAGACGCAGTAAAAACAAATATTATTCCCAAGAGGATTTCTGTTCTGACGAAGATCAAAGTTCCGTTTGTTACGACGAGGATGAAGAGACCCCCGTAAAAAATCATAATACGATGGAAACAAACGAAAAAAATGTCGAAAAATGTTGCAACGATAACAACGGTGATAACAAACACGGGCGACAAAGGGAAAAACACATGACGAGAAAAAACGTTTTGATCAATTATTGGCCGCCGCAAAAATAAAAGAAAAAAAATTTACGAGTTTCCGGTTTCGTTTACGATTTAAAAAAAAAGCGCGCGCGCGTGTGTGTGTGTGGGGGGGGAGGGGGGTCGAAAACAAAAATCAAACGGAAATCGATGAACGGACGTTTTAATTTTTCCCTTGCAAAACAAAAAAAAAAAAAAAAATCCGTTAGGTAAAAAAATTTTAATTATACGTTTTCCGGTTTTGCCTTTGGATTCGAATGATTGAAAAACCGGAATTGACGCCATCGCATAAAAAAAAAAAATCGAATTCAAATTCCAGAAAATATCAAAGTGTCATTATTATTAATAATAATAATAATAACAATAATAATTTTTTCCAGTTTTTTTTTTTTTTTTTTTTTTTTTAATCGTGATAAGAATTTTTTGTAATAAATATTAAATTATTATTATTATTATTATCGTGTTGGTTTTTAATCACGCCTTTTATGTTATTATTAAGTTATGACGTCATTAATTAATAATTTATTAATTTTATTCGGGTGGGGAAAATTGTCGAGAGAAAGAGGTGTAAGGTGAGGCGGTAATTGTCGAATGAATAAATCAATTTAATTTCCTACCTAATTATTTCAGGAATAAACAAAAGAACAACAACAACAAACGGGGATTTGACGCGATACTACAACCGAAAATCGTTTGTCGATGATAATGATAATTATAATGGTTTAAATTTGACGGCGATGATACAGAAAAAGTTTTTATTCGATGGGGGTAAAAGTGCGGGGATGCAGAGCCAACTCAGGTACTATCACAACACGCGTTTCTTCAACAATCGTCAACGATCGAGGGGTAATAAAAATGTCGGAGTCGTAAACGTCGGCGGTGAATCAAACAACGATTTGAAAGAATTAAGAAAAAGCGAATATTTTTCCAAAGAGGGTGAAAAATACAAATTGGAAAAATCGATGAAAATAATACAGATATTGAAGCACAGAGCGAAAAACATAGAAAAATCACTCAGGGATCCGTGGAAATCGAAAATGAATGCCAAATGTCCGTACAAAGTATTGCGAAATACGGCAAAGCAAAAATTTAGATCGTTTAACGCTCAGAAAAAAGTTCCCGCCATTATGATCGTACCGAAAATGGTTTCCGGAAAGAAAACCGGAAATAAAAATTATTGCAAGAGCATAGTGATGCCCGCGACGGCGGCAAATTTCCTCTCTTACGCCAAAAACAGCAATAACATAATAAATACGAATTACGATTCCGATAATAATAATAATAATAATAATGATGATTTAAACGATGAATTCAACGGTAACACGTTCGACGAAGATAATAATAATAATAATATTATTAACGGTTACGGTGAAGACGACGAGGAGGAAATGGAAGGAGGAGGAGATTTCGACGGTAACAAATCGTTGATACTGAGTGAAAATTCGGAAAATTGTTTGTACAAACAATTGAACGATTTGAAAAAGGAAAATGAAGAATTGAAAAAGAAAATAATTGAAATTATGGAGAGAAAAGGATTGAAAGACGATTTGCAAATGAACACGGATCACCTGGAACTGGAAAAGACAAAATTGAAAGCTTGTTGGCTCATCATGTCCTCGACATTGGACGCGTTTAGTAATTTTTGTAAAAAATTAAGAACGAAACAAACAAACGATGGTAAAATGAACGGAGAGGATTGTTGTATGAAAACGTCGAAAAATAAATCCGACGTCGTCGCCGACGGTTACGTCATCAATAATACTAATAATAATAATAATAAAATGAATTATTGCAAAGGGAAAAACGGAAACGGTTGTTGCAGTAACGATTTCGAAGAGGTTTTAGATGCCGCAGCATACGATAAAGATGATAAAAAATATTATAGTTTTTTAAAAAAATTAATATTGGATCAAGTGGAAAATGAAAAAGAGAGAAATAGAATCGCGAAGTAAATTTTTTAAAGGAGAAAAGAAAATGTCGGGGTAGCAGACGCGAAAATGGAAAATGGTGGTGGTTGAAGGACGATGGCATACGTACATACCAGCAAAAACAACAACAACAACAACAAAAATTTCTTTTTTCCCCTCACGTTTTCATCATTCTCGCTCCCTTCTTCCCGCCCCCTAATTCCTCCTCCTCCCTCCACCGCCCCCCGCCCCGCCCCCTCTCTCTCTCTCATCTTTTCCCCACAAGTCAAGGTTCCCGCTAATAATTTTTTGGTAAATTACAGGTTGGAAGGTTAATCGAATTTAATGGTAATAGAATATTTTTTTTTTTTGCAACGCATCGATGGCGGTATTAATGACATTGCGGTGACCGGTAGTCGTTCATCCACCATTTTTTTTTTTTTTTTAAATTTAAAAACAACATAATAAAGAAAAATGTTTCGCTAAAGTGCGACAAAAAAGTTAACAACTTTTATGGATTTGCGACAAACGAATTTTGTTTGTTTGTTCGTTTCCTTTCTTTCGATATATATTAACTTTAAATTATTTGTTTTTTTTTTTTTTTTTTTTTTTTTTTTTTTTTTTTTGTATAGAAATTTTTAAGTGTTTGTTTTATTATTTTTTAAACAGGGTAACAAACGTCGTTTATTTGATTTTTTCGTCACTACCCCCCCCCCCTTCATTCGTCCCCCCAAACTCGCAAATCGATCAATCAAATTGTAGTGTTGTTATTAAAAAAAAAAAAGTTTTGTTTGTTTGTTTTCTAATTAAATTAATATGTGTATATCAATTAAATATATAGTTTCATTTTAAAAAAAATTTTTTTTTATCGCTTTTGTTATTGCAAAAACTATAAAATGTTTTTGTTTTTATACTCGTTAAAATATAGACTATAAAAATTTTTTTTCGTTAAATTAAATGAAAAAAAAAAAATGTTTTTAAAACTGATACCAAAAATTTATTAATTAATTTAATTCCAATTCGAATTTAATAAATAAAAAATTTTTAATTATTTTAATAGAATATAGATTTTTATAGCGCTATAATACTTATAGCGAATGTAATTATTAAAAGACATATTACAGATTCAAAAATTTTAAATGAATGTTGTGAAAAATATTTTTCAAAGTTTCCACCGCAGCCATTTTTAAAAATTTATTTATTCATGTTTTATAGTCTATAATAAACTATAAATATACGTTTATAGCGCGCGTTTTTTCGTGTGGTAAATGTTTACTTATTACTCTCATCCATTTAAATTAACCGCAAATATTTTGAATTGATTTTTTTTTTGGGAGAAAAATAAATATTTGATTTTATTTTTTTGATTTTGCGGTTTTTACGGTCAGACGAAAAAATCGTTTGTTTGTTTGTTTGTTTGTTGCGTTTGTTTACCTCCGAAAATGATTTACTCTAATTGGTTGTTAACGAAAGAACCAAAAAAAAAAAAAAAATTTTTTTATAGTGAGTCATTCGTAATTTTTTTTTTTTTTGTTACAGATGAACGGATGAGACAAACATTGGAAATACGAAAAAAAATGGCGTTCTCCAGCGTTTTTGTTTGGAAAACATTTAAAATTCCAAAATTCCAAATTTTAATTTAATGATAATAATAATAGATAGAAGAAGTAAAAAAAAAAAATTTAAACTGGATATAAAAAAAGGAGAAGAAAAATTTTGGAACGAGTTTTCTCTCTCTCACGCTTTGGTTTTATTAGCCGTCGTCTGTCTGAAATTTTATTTTTATCATAATTGTCACATCGGAGGGAGATGAAATCTCAAACGCAGCATCCTAAAGATTTATTCAATTCCCAGTCCATGAATAACCAATCAATGAGATTTTTTTGTTTGTGGTACGACGAAACTTTCCGACGACCTTTATGGGAAACCTTAACATGCGTTTGTCGTCGTTAATTTCAACGGATCCGAGGAAAAGAAGGAGAAGGAGGGGGAGGATTGATAAGGGAAGGAAATGATGATAAGGGAGAAAAGGAATAAGGGTAAGTTTAAAAAAATATATATTTTTTTTCCTTTTTTTTTTTCTTATTTTAATTTTTTTTTCCAACGGGAAAAAAAAATAAAAAATTTTACTGGTTTAAAGGTTGTGAGGGGCGGCGGTGGTGGTGGGGCGGGGCGAAGTGGGGGACACGGAACGGGGAGATTAAGGCTCTAATATTTGCGGTTTTTAAAAAAAAAAAAAAAAAACTTTTGCCTCGTCTTATTATTATCATAAAAATCAAAATTTGTTCGTTTGTTTGTTTGTTTGTTATTAACGATAAATGGTTAATTTGATTTCCCCTCCCCTCCTTATGTTTCTCCCCTTTTTTTTTTTGAAATTAATTTCGTCATTTTTTTTTATTATTTTCCCACTGATACCCGAGAGCACCTGTTTCAAACTAACCACTTCCGGTACACGATATTTTATAAAAATAAACAAATGATGGTCCGACTTCTGCCGCTACTGCTGCCACGACAGAAATTTTTTTTATTTTTAAAAAATCCGATCCGTTGAATATCTATGCGGATATTAATAATAATAATAATGATTATGTCGGTGATGATAATGATAATGATGATGGTGATGATGTTGATGATGATAGATAAACGAAATCGGACGAATAACGGAAAAATATCAAATCAAATAAGGAAAATGAAGTAAAAGAATTTCAAAAAAAAAAAAATTTTTTTTCACCGTAAAAAGGAATCAGAACGTTTTAGGGGGGGGGGCAAATGGGGGGTTAGGAGGAGGAGGAGGAGGAGGAGAGGGGATTCTTCGCTCCAAATGAACTAAGAGATGCTATTAGTATTTTAATTGTAATTAAATTACTTAAAGGCGATTTTAAAAGCGTAAATTAGGGTCACTAACAAAAAAAAAAAAGAAAAAAAATTCTTTTTGTACAAAACGTAAAAAAAAAAATTATTATTATTATCATTATTAATTAATTAATTATACACATTCCGAAGTTTAGGAATTATCATCATCATCAACATTATTGCCATCATGAAAACTTTTTTTTTTTTGTTATTTTAAATTTGGCACCAATGAATTTATTTTTTCTCCAGTAATACAAAAGAATTAAAAAAAAAAATTTTTTTTTATAGTTTTAACGATTTATAGCGCTATAAAAATCGTTTGACTGGAAATTGGAAAAAGGGGCGTTTGGGAAATATTTTATAGGTTTTTCTCCAAATACATTCTGCTCAGTAATAATAATAATAATAATAACGAATTTGAAACAATCACAAATTCATTCATCGATTGAACTTTTGTTTTTGTTTTTTATTGACTACAGCAAAAATTTTTTTTTGTTTAATGTTTAATTATTATTAATGACGGTTTTGCGGTCAATCAAGTTATCACGCTACTACTCATTTCGTACTTTATTAATCATGGCATATGGACGCATTAATGACTACTTCCTGCCCACAAACAATGACTGACTGACTGATTGTCTTTTACCTGGTTTTCACTCGTCCATTTCGACTTAGTCACGAATATTATTATTATTATTATTAAATATCGGACCGCAATCGTTTGCTTTAAATTACCGAAAACAAAACAAAAAACCTGTTTTATAAATTTAACATCCATCCCTTTTTCGCATGACTTAAAAACGGCAACAGAAAATTTTTCAAAAACAAACAAACAAACGAACGAACAAACGGACGTAAAAAAAAAGTTTTTTATTTTGATTACGTCACGGTATTTTAAATTATTTATCTTTACTCTTACTATAACTATGAATCTATACGAATACGTATAAAATTATAGGAAAGAAAATAATAATAATAATAATAATAATAATAATAATAAATTCAACGCCGCCATGTTTGTCGTGAACAAACAATAAAAAAAAAAAAATTTTTTTAATGTTTAACTTAAATGATATTTAAAAAAAAAAAAAATTTTAACGTTTTTTAATCGCGCTATAAATTCGATTTTATAGTCTATTGTTATAGAATGGAAATTTACATACGGTCGTACTTAAAATAAAAATTTTTTTTTGTTATTATTTGATGTAAGACGCGCGGCTTGGAGAATTTTTTTTTTTATGGAAAAGAATAAAACGGGAATAAAATAATAATAATAATTATTAATAATAATAATAATAATTATTATTATTATTATTTTAATAAAAACAAACAAAAAATTTTACCAATGAAAAAATTGACAAAGAATTTTTTTAATTTATCGGTGAGAGTAATTGGATTTTGAGTCGTTATCACAAAAATTTGAGTTTATGTAACGAATGAAAAAAAAAGGAAGTATCATCATCAATTTCCGGTTAGAAAAAGGAAGAATTTCCGGTTAATAAAATTTTATTTTATTTTTTTACATTAATAAATAAATAAGTAAATGAACTTTTTACGTGGTGACTTTATTTTTTCTTTTTTGATTTTATTATAAGTTGATCGTTTCGCGTGTTAATTATTTATTGTATGGATCATTTATTTACGATAAAAAATATACGCGTTAAAATTTTCTTTTCTTTTTAATTTTTTTGTTTTTTTTTTTGTTTTTTTTTTTTCGGGGAGATTGGGGAGTTTAATTTTATTTGAATATCGGAAACCTAAAAGAAATAATGATGGCGGTGGTGGTGATTGCGGTGGTTATTTTGGCGGTTTAAAAAAAAAAAAATTTTCAATTTTTTTTGGGGGTTTGAAAATTCCCTCATTGAAAAAGGAAATGCGTGTTTGAATTTTTTTTTTTTCACCCTTTCCCCCCTTTCCCTCCTCACGATTTCCTGTTTCCCTTTTAAATCCTTTATTCATTCCCCCTCATCATTCTCTCTCTCTCTCTCTATCAACCACAAACCATAAACCGAACAATAGGTTTTTTTGTTGTCGAAATCATTAATAATTATTTTTAATAGACAAATCGCACACAAACAAACAAATAAACTCGTACTAATAATTCAGGTGCGACGAATTCAGGTAAATGAAACGATATAATTTTGTTTGTTGTTTTTGTTTTTGTGGTTGTTGTTATTACTACTTCTAACTCCATCATTTGAATCGATTTTTAAAAAAATTAACAACCGACAAATTTTTTATTTTGATTTTATATATATATATATATATATATATATATATTTTTTCGTTATGTTTCGTTCATTTTATGTTTGTTTGTTTGTTTCCTTTTGTTTGCCTTTGTTTTTTTTTAACTCATTTCCCTTTTTTGTATTAAAAAAAAAAAAAAAATGCAAATCATTGCCATTAACCGTCGTCTATCTCTATATTTTTAAATAATTGTTCATTTAAATAACAATTTGAAGAGAAAAATGGTGTAAATTAGA